TTCTAAAATTGATAACAAAATATATCCAAGTTTTAGGGTCATCTATTTATTTTACATATATTATTAATAAAAAGTAGTAATATTTAAAGATTTGACATATATACAAACTTTGTAGATAGCTTATTAATTCATATATAATTCATATAGTTGGCTTCTAATGAAGTTCGATTTTCTACTGAGCACACCAAAGGTTATTTGTTGTCTTCACCAACCTTTGCATTTCAAGCCGAAAATTGTTAGGCTGTGTAGTTAGAATGTTCGCAAGCTGTTAACAGCCTTGTTCTATATTTATATATATTTATTTCGAATGTGCGCTTTGACTTGAGTATGCACAAACATTAACGGCACATGCCACATTAACATTAAGAGCATTAACTTAAACATGTATACTTAACTGTAGTCACACACACTCATCGTTCCCCGCTCACCCGTTTACCCGCTCACCCGCTTACCCGTTTACCCGCTCACTCGTTTACCCGTTTACCCGCTCACCCGTTTACCCGTTTTCCCGCTGCTCGTTCAGTGTTCCTCTCCTATTTCTTGTTAATCCCTTTTATTTGCTTTTTCCGCGTGTTTGTCGTTTGCCGCAGCTCCACCAATTAGCTGTCGTTGCTGTCATTATTTCTTTTACCTGTCAGCAACTTGGCCATACCCATTACTTTATTCACTAATTTACACATTTGGTAATTTACAAGTCTACTTAGAGGCTGACAGCAGGGTATGCCTACATCCACACACACACACACACACACACACGCGCACAGCACATTTGCAATTATTTCAATCAACTGTGTCGCGAGTGCCACACACAGCCTCAAAAATGTCTGTGTGTGTGTCTGTGTTTGTGTGCAGTGGCTGCCTAATCAGGCATCCACAATTTGGAGTTGCCACCCATGGCACCAGCATTCGTGGCACCATCCTGTAGATGTCTCTATCATTTCAACTTTTGGCAAACAAACTTTTCAAATTGCTTTCGCATTAAAAATCACTAAAATACGTTTTTCGCATCACTGCTTACAGAAATTACGTTACTTTCTGTATGTGTGTGTGTGTTTGTTTGTTTGTTTGTGTGTGTGTGTGTGTGTGTGCGTGTGTGTGTGTTGCCTGTTTGCTTACGTTAAGTGTCATTAAGCTTTTGTCAACTCATCAACGTCACCTTCTGCGTCGTTTGTTGTTGCAAAAGTTAAACATATCAAAAACATAATGCCAACCACTAAGATATGGCAATAACTAATCAATTAATGTTGACTTATAGATGCCGTATAACAATTTTAGTAGTACTGTTTTGGAATACTTTTAATTTCTATATTTTCCAGGGTATACATATATTAGTTAAACATGTGCCAAGCAACTAATTGGATTGCAGATATTGCTGCTTTTATTCCCGGCAAGCCACATATGAGCATCAAACATTTCAAACACACGTTGACCACAGTTAAACTGCTGTAAACAATATGGAAATCTCGTCAACAGATTTATAAGCCAGCACAGTAAGAAAACCGCAAATCATTGGCTCAACTCGTCTCTCTCTCTCTCTCTCTAAACTCTTATTTGCTGCACGGCACAAAGAGCGAACCCACAAAGTAATATTGCACATACGCCATGTGGGACTTGTGTGGGTCAGGAAAAAAAGTGGTAGTTGCTTTGTTTGTTGGCTTTCGTTGCATTTGTTTTAAACTTGATTTTGCATTTACTTCAATTGTGGACAAATATTAATTTTGTGTGAAAGAACTTTTAGGAAATTGAAATATTTAAATGCCTATCACAAAATTTAAATGGTTGATCAAATTTAAGGTGTTTCTTTAATGGGTAGAAACAATTTTGTATCACTTGTGTTTTTTTTTTAAAGCTGTGACATTCTTAATAGCACAATGCTTATTGTCCATGATTGTTTTATTTCCAGCTGTGCACAAGAAAAAAATGTTAGCAATGACCAACATTATTTTTTGTCTTTTTTTTTTCAAGCATTTTCTTTTCTTTGCGGATTTTGTTACATTTAGAGTTGGAAGACTTTGCCACTTTCTTATGGACTGTTAACTAATTCAAAGGTATGAAATCATCAGGTTATTTTCCCACTTTTAAGCATTACAAAATGGGCGGATAATTTTTTAAAGACATTTAGCATATGTTTGATCTAAATTAGGTAGGTTATTCACGATATGTGGATTAATTTATTAGTTATTTACTTTGCTCATGAAGAAAATCCATCTAAAATTAGAAACATTTTATAGATATACGACAAACAATTTCTTAAATTGAACTACCTAAAATGAAAGCCCAATCAATATCCGTTAAATTATAAATATATTCCTTAATAATACAAATTATAATTTATTATATATTGAAACAATTCTTTCAGATATTCAGAAAACACTAATGAAATTTGCTCTCTCGAGTGAGAGTTTTGACTGCTACAAATACTTATCATTTATATATAGTTATTATTAACAATATAAGGATACTTTTAGGAGTAATCCTATTTTTACTCTATAGAAATAAACCCACTAAAACTAACCATATTAAGTATTCTTTGTTCTCATTAAGGAACTAGCGCTGTTTGTACTAACAGATTTTATGCAATAACATGCTGCTCATAATTGGCCACAAATTGAAACCCATTTTCAACTGAATGTTGCAGGATATGATGACGTGTACTCGTATGCCACATACCGGCTATATCAATAACCGGATGGTTGGAAAAATGCAATTTTAATTAGCCGAACGTGCGACAAACGCACGTAAAACGAATAACCGCAAGATGGTGTTGCAATTAGGCAACTGCAACTGGCGACAGTCAGCAATGCATCATTGCAGCAATGTGCACTGCTGTCAATCCAGACTGCGTCAAGCAGCGTATCAGTTCGACAGTCAGTCATTCACTCATTCAATGCAACGTGCTGCTTCAGCCAAACAAAATTATGTGGCCACCATTTGCTGGTGGCACATTTCGCGGGCAACTGCTGAGAGAGGGGCGAGATGTGCACCAAGTGAGTGCGAGAAAGAGAGCGAGAGAGCGAGAGAGAGAGAGAGAGAGAGGTACTGCTGGCAGTCGTTTGTTTTGCAATGCCCAAATTACTTTATCGATTTGCCCAGTACGCTTGTACAACTTGGTATATTGCATGCATCATGGGGATGGGAAGCGGGGAGGCGGGGATTCAGCATCAACGCTGGACAAACCGACCACGCTAACGAGCCTCATTAGTGGCATGCGTGGCAATGTGGCAGTGGGGAAAATGTAATATGGCATGGGGCATGCTGAAAAGGACGCAATGACATTGGGCACTCGTTGTCCTGTTGACATGTGAGCACCACGAACGTGATTTCTTATTCAGATTCGCCAAATGATGATTGCCACAGCTATGGATTATTTCGCAGCAGCTTTTCGGGCTTGCTCAAGGTTAAAACCTAGAAATTTTCAACTATTTGTAGGTAAAAATAGTTTGTACCCATACTTAACGGCAAAGGTACCAAGTACAAATATACTTCTATGATTATCTCGATTTCACAACTTGGACAAAGCTATAATATCCTCTACAAGTATATAAATTCGAACAAATTTACAGATCTTGCAGCGTCATTTCGATATTGAGTTAATTCTATGCATACTTGTTTTACTTTTGCCAACTAGGTGTACAAATGTGAAATATTTTTAACAAAAAGATTGATTAGCCAACAAATATTAACTTACATAATTTATTATCAAAAATAAAAAAATGTATCATCTCTCAAAGATTAAGCTTTGTCTCGAGTTTTTTATTATCTGATTAGTTTGAAGTTACCTAAATTTAAAGTGAAGAAATGACTGTGAAATTGACACAACTATCCATGAGTTAATAACAACTTGTTGTTGAGTAAGTTTACTAAAAGTAAAAAATAGGCTATCATCCTTCAAGAAATCAGTTTTTTCTCAAGTTGAATTATTTTCAATTGATTATTTGAATTACCTAAAATGAAAGACCGTTAAATTTACGCAACTAGCCATGAAATTTGTATTTATGTTTTTGACATTTAATCCAGACGGCTACTTAATATGCGAAACACAAAGCAATCCAATGTGACAGCAATTAGTGAATGCCTCAGGGGCGGTTGGGCTGAAGAGGTGGATTTATTAAAATCGAAATCAATGTTTAACCGTCTCGAACGGAGAGTGCTGCAAATGCAAAACGGATGCTATCTGTCTGTCTGAATGTCTGCCTGTCAATTGAATTGCATTAATATGTCGTGTGAGTCTTAACACCATTAATTACATGACCAATGAGTCAATATTATGACATTGTGCAACTGAGACCAATGATGTTGACGCTGACGACGACAAAGTTGAACCTGCAACAACAACAACAACAACAACGAAGCGGTATCAATCAATTAGTTAAGCATATTGATTGCATAGCTTCTGGTTAGAAGCTTTCTACGCTATTTAATGTAGTTGTGATTCCAACAACCGAGGAGCTAAGATATGCAATATAATCACTTAAATCTCAATGCCACAAATTAGAATCGTAAATTATATGAATTTTAAAACTATCTAAACTGTTTGTGCAGATATAATGTTATTTATTGTGTTATAATTTATGGCTTAGCGATATACATTGCTCTGTTTGTGCTTATTGATAACGAAATCGGAATTTTGCTTAATTGCGCTTTATGCGTGTTTTCTTCTCCGCTGGCTGCAAGCAAATGCTTCGATGTCGATTACATATCGATATTTTACTGATATCGCTACTGACTCGATCAATTCCTCTCAATAGTATCGGGGCAATGGCAACAAGGTTGCTAGGCCGTTTCTTGTTAGTTTATCTCCACATTTGTATGTGTGAAAGCTGAAAATACTATTAACAATTTAGTTCTGTTACTCATATTAAAAATACGCTGGAAATAGACAAATATGCCTTGACTTGATTACGTTAATGTCAAACTGTGTCACTTATAGATATTTAATAATCTCTTAATTATCACTTTAAAAATAAGATGCCATTCCTTCAAATGGCTTAAGCATTAACTTCTGATGTACATATGATGCCTGATATGAGTTTATTTCTATAATGCTTATCGTTTTCTTAAGCCTTAATCTTCTCTTATAATTATAACACTCACAATTTGTTTAAATGAATTTAAATATATTGCACTTTGCCTAGAAGTATTCATCGCTGTCCTCATATTCGCTGTCCCCATCCAGTGAAATTTGGCTGACCATCGTTTCGGGGCATTTGGGTTTTTGCACTGGCCTATCCAGCACAAAGCCATAAGGATTTGCATGCTTGTGCGAATGCGACAAGATCTTTCTGCGTTTCACAGTATTGGTTTCCTTGGTCGTATTTCTGTTGCTGCTGTTGCCCTGCGGCTGCTCGGTGTTCTCATTGCTGTTTGGCAGTTCAACAATTTGCATCGTATTACGTTCAGCCTCACAGCGACCCTCTTCGCCAAAGTCGTGTGGATACATTGTCTCGGGCGGCTCCTGTTCGATGTAGTAATGCCTGTCGGGTATATCGTCGAATGCATCGCTATCATTCGAGTAAGAACCAGTCGAAGACTTGGAACTTGACTCATACTCGTCGCCATATTTATTTACTCCCAATTCTGCTGATTTTTGCTTTATAGGAGTGCTTTGTTTTGGCCCAACCGAGTCGATCATGCTTTGCCGCACTTTTACCTTGCTTGGTGGATTTCGGGTATCCTTTTTGATTAGGCGTGGCTTAAAGTCACGTGGAGTATCCATTTTGTAAGCAGGTAGTTTTTTAATATGGCTTGCCTTGGCCTCAGGTGGCAGTAGTTCTTTAATATTACTCGGATTGCCCTCAGGTGGAATATCTTTGGCCATATGGGATTTTATGATCGGTTGTGGCAACTTCTTGCTAGCGTCCTTTTTTGTTTGCTTCATCAACATTTGCAGGAGAACGGGCAACTCCTTGTTGTCATAGTTGCCGGACAATTCACGCATCAATTTTTCACGTGGCTTCAGCAGTGCCTTGTCGCCCGTTTCGAGTGCAAATGTTTCCAGGGTATGCTTGTAGCCGTACCAATCGAAATAATCCACCACCAGATAGTTGAGCAACTGCAGCAATCCACGCTGTTGCACATCGCCGCCACAGAGCGCTCCATCCTTGTCCAGATACAGCTCCTCACGGATGGCCTTGAGCACATTGACATGCAATCCGCTGCGTAATTCATTTACGATTCCGCTGCGCTCGAAATTCATCCGGATGCTATTCTCAATGAGCTGTGTATATGTCCTCTCCTCCATTTGAGAAACAAGAAAAAAAAATGATTGAAATTCAATAAAATCGAGATTTGTAAAGCATTCAAAACATTTGAATTTGATTTGTTTGTGGTATCTAAGGTTAAGTCGGTGTTCTACTAACTGTAACTAAAATAATGTTAAAAATCTTCACAAAAGGATTGCTCAGTTTCCCCTTTTTTCTCTCATGCCTTTGTCTACAAAGTTTTTGTCAAGCCAAGCTCGTTAATCATGCAGATAACCTTGAGTGGAAGGCTGCATACATTAGCCATTAGCTAAACTTTTCGCAGAAGGTTGGCAACGTTCTGAAAATGTCTGCTCAAAGAGAGAGAGAGAGAGAGAGAGAGAGAGAGAGAGGAAAGTGCATTGCACGCCAATTTAATTTAGCTTTTGTACTGGCAATCGTATATAAATGTCCTTTGAAATTTAAGGCAGAACAAAAGTCGGCAATCTGTCTTTTAGTTCAGTGAGAATATGTACCTTCGCCTAATACAGAGATACTTGGCATATCCGTTTCATTGAAAGCTAATCAGACGATGATTAAGAACACTTAATTTGTGCTATTTTGATGACTGATATACAACCTGCTTACTCAATTTGTTCGAAGTATTTCTGGCTAAACAAAAGAAAGGATCAGCTTCCTTTCGTGTCGTATTCAATGCACCTCTAAAAATCTTTTAATAAGTCTTCTCTTTTTTCAGTTAAGGAAATTAAATTTGCAATAGCAGAGAATTACTCAAATAAAGCCAAAGAGGCCATGAATCGTTGATTATATTTTGGATTTTGTTGCACAAATTTTTGTGTTTTTGTGTAAAATATAAGCTGAAATAAATTCATCTACAATTGATGAGCCGAGAGGTGAGTGCATTGCTTCAATCTTAATCTTGATTGAATTTTGTATTTATTTTATTGTTTGTACATCATTGAACCTTTGCAGCAACATTTTAGACTGTATAGTTATTAAAGTAAAATACACGCAGTAAGAGCATTAAATTGATGGTGTCTATGTATAAGAACTCAATGTCTATAATAAATTAATTGAAATGCTCTGAATCAAAATCCACTAAAAAGCGAAAAAGGCACATTGTAAGCAGCTGCGCTGAATTAAACTTTGTGCTGATAATGGCTGCCAGAGAGTGTTGTTAACCTAACTTTTGAGTCTCAGTCTCTGCCAAATTTTACAGCAGATTCAGCCTTTCTTGCGTCTTAATGATATGGTTTATAGGGGCGATTTCCTTGTTTCATGTGGCTTTAGCTATTTACTTGGTCTTTGCCCTGCTATAATGTTCGAGTCTGGTTTTTTCAGCACTTTGCTTGTCTTTGCCTTAACTGAATTAATCTTGCGCCCCTTTGGCATGTTTAATTCGTTTGAGAGTGTTGTAATATGCAGCCATTTAGCATTGTCCAGCAGCTTATCATTGTCCTTGCCAGTTTCTTTAATCAGCATTTGCAGCAGAAGCGGCATTTCGATGTTATCAATGTTGCCGCCAAGTTCACGTTGCAGTTTTTCTCGCGGCTTTGGATGTGGCTTTCCACCGCTTTCAATTGCGAATGTTTGCAGGGTACTCGTGTAGCCATACCAATCAAAGTAGTCCACCACCAGATAGTTGAGCAGCTGCATCAACCCACGCTGTTCCATATTGGCACAACGGGATGGCTCATCCCTCTCCAGGCTCTTAAGAGCATGCAACATTTTTAGTGCCTCAACATGTAGTTTACTGCGCATTTTTTCCAGCTTTTCATTGCGCTCCAAATGCATCCGAACGCTGGCTTCAATCAGTTCTAAATGCGAAGTTTGCTCCATTGAAATTTGTGAATTTACTTTGAATTTATATCTATAAACAATCTGATTTTAAACTGTTTTATTTTAACTTGAGTTTGATAAAAAATTACTAGTTAACTTAGTTTGGAAGAAAATACATTACCAAATGCTGGCTAACGGTGCTGAATAATATATGTACATACATGTATGTCTATTTCTATATCTATCGAGTAGTTACAGTGGTATTACAGTGCTGTTGGGTGGCAACGCTGGTTAACAGATCAAACTGCAGCATAAGCATTAATTGAAGAAGAAGATTCGTAGAAGAACAGCAGAACGAGATAGATCCTAAATAAGAAGTCGTTAAAGTCCCCAATATGTAAAGTTCTACATTTTTCAGTGCGTCGGGGAAGTAAGTCGTTATTGTATAGAGTCGAAAATTACGTTATAAACCCAAAACTCATCTTTCACTGTAATATACTTATAACCATTATATTAAGAATAAACAGGACATAATCAGTCCTATAATTATTATTATCCAAGTACCCTTAAGTCTGAAGATTTTCTTATTAATTTTTTTTTTGTCTTAATTTTCTTTTACATAAATATGTAAAATTGAAATAATTGTAATTGTTGCTCTGCTTAATTAAAAATGCTGCCAGGTCAACAAAAAATAAAATACGATAAAAGCGCAAAAATTAAGTTGCCGGTAATGGCCGACAGAGTGCGCTGCTACTGGCTTTTGGAGCGCTGCCTTTTGCCTTGCACCGGTTGAAAAATTGATTGCACTTAATGGAATTTAAAAGTTTGTTTACTTGCAGCAAGTTCACCAAGTTCGCCAAGGCGAATATCCGTGTATGTATGTATATGTGTGTGCTTATATATATATATATATATATATTTATCTGATTCTGCTGACGACAATGTATCTTGAATGAAGCGATAATCATGGAAATTAATAGTTTCACCGGAGACTTTTACAAAGGCAGCACTTTGAATTTTCAATACGCGATGCGTATAAAAAAACAAAAATAAAAGTAAAATTAAGTAAAACGGTTGAGAAAAAAAGTTCACGTTCGGGTTTGCAGGTGCCAAAAGAGTTTTCTTTATTTAATTACTATAATCTTTTTTTTTGTGCCAGAAAGTTCACGTTGCTTTTAATTCTGTTAAGAGCTTTAAGAGCTGGCTGATTTATGGCTTAGCCAAAGTTTTTTGGGCACAACTAAAAAATAAAAAATCCCAAAATGAATCTAAGCAGAAAAACGGCTTATGCCTTTAAGTTAAATGCAACTACTGTTTAAATATTTGTTCAACTAATTAGCAAAAGTGTTGCCAAAAAAAAGGAGGACAAATTGAGCAGCAAGTAATACTCAACGAATACTGCGCCATTTCCGGTTTATCTGGACGTTGTTGCAAAGCCAATTAGACAAAATGGCTGCGACACATTTCCGCTGGTTGGTCCTCTGCACGGAGCCTAAACCTCATGCGTTTGCCTTAAGTGCGTACTTTTCCATGGGGGGTCTTACAACAAGGCTGCAGAGCTTGTAACGCACTCTTTAAGTCAATGCTCAATATGCCAATTGTGGATATAAATATACCCTGAATGGGAAAAAAGGATAATGAAGTTGTGCCAAAGTATGTAACAGGCAGAAGAATGGAAGTCCGACCCCATAAAGTAAATACAATCTCGATCAGCATCATCATATAATGTATCATATTTGCAAATCTAGTTGATTTAATTTTATTGAGCGATAAATCTATAACTTCTAAGCACACATATTATTGATAAGCTGTTAAAATTTCACTAAGATCGGATACTAAATAAATAATAAACTCAGGCTTGTAGCACTGGAAAAGAAAAATATCAATCAAAAATATAAAAAAAAATAAATAAATAAACATCCAAGGATGTCAGAGAATAAAGGCAGATTTAGTTAACCAAAAAGAATTTTTAATATTTAACAAATTACTATCAGCAATCCTATTTTGTATTTAATTTAATTTCCCAGTCGAGCTCTCTCGACCACAGACAGTAAAGGTTTTACAACATGGGATATAATTTTACTTTGTGCTGTATTCGTAAATGTTTTCCTTTCTCTGTGACTTATCATTGCAAGTGTTGAAAAATTTTGTTGTTGTGGATTTTACAAATTGAGAAAGTGTATTTGAAAGACGGCGTATCACGTTTAAGTGTCTCATTTCCTTGTTGCTTGTGCCTATCGAGCATTGTCCTTGCTATTGTTGTTGTTATTAGCGACACACTTTCGCATTTGGTAATCGCATTAATTATGCGCTGCTTTCAGTTGCTGCTGGGCCTTTTAGTGCTGCAGGCAAATGGCCAACAAATTGAACAAAGGCAAACTGCAGGCAAAGATAAGCACAAAGTAGAAAGACAACTAGAGAGAGAAAGGCAGAGAGTGAAAGACAGTGTGTGAGAGAGAGAGAGAGAGAGCAAGATGCTAACTACATTTGAGGCATAATTGCCTCTCGCTGGGGAATTCAAATTGAAAGCAGAAGTAGCAACAATACTCAAATTAACAGAAGATGGCAATTCATTTCATTAATTATCAATTAGTTTTTCAAAATAATTATGAGAGATTTATTAAGTGGGCAGTTGCTGCCCAACTTTTGCCATCTTTAACTAACTTTTTGACAAATTACTATTGAATTAATTAACAGCCGCACTTAATCAAAATTGTGTGATACAAAATGCGGCAACTCTAAATTTTGCGTTAAATGCTTTGGGCAAAACAATTCACATAATCGACATAAATCGCTTTGAGAAATTTAAGCTGGAGCCTTGCTTGTATTATTAATTTGTTTATTCGTTTGTTTTGTACATTTATTATAGTCATTATTAATGAAAACGATTAAGAAATTGGATATTTGCAGTGCATCATATTTTAGTTTAAAAAAAAGACTAAATATAAGTTGTCCAAAACATTTATTTTTATATTTTTCAAATGTTTTTAAAATTCACTGCTATTTATTTATTTTATTTTATCCATTCAATAACAAAGACAATTACTTGCGAATATTTTTGTCGTTATATGATATTTAGATTTCTGATCTTCAATTTTCATGCTCAAGGGCTGAATCAATCCCTTCAGCAAGAAGTTGGATTATGAATATTTCAGGTTATATCATATTACATAAAAATGCTTGTTTAACTTTTTTTATATTACTTAAAACTACTGATGTGTTTGCGAATTGTCTTGATCATGGCATCTGCTTGAGAATTTGAGGATTCACGCAGTAGTCCAATCACATCAGAGATGCCACTTCCTGGACGACCACGATGTGCCTTGGTCACCATGGCATACAGAACGCCCGCACAAGCGCCACGTTTGCCCTCCCAATTCTCCGGACTGGGATCGAGTCTGTTGACCGAAGAAATCGTTTCACATTCATAGATCAAAATAGTGTCACATCTTTTACTCACTTTTCGAGCATATCGAATGCCTTGGCTGCCACCCAAAATTCCTCACACTTGTAGCACTCGTTCGCAATTAGCTGGAGCAGGAGAAATGCCTCCGCGTTCGTGTCCCTGGTGATGAACACATTCCATGCCAACTCTGGATGACCGCAGTGTATGTGACACTTGGCCAGGATCATGCAGTAGGTGTGCTGATTCTTAATATCCATATCGCTGATCTGGATCAGCAGCTCCTCGGCCTCCTTGTAATAGCCCGTAGCACACTTGGCCTGAGCAAAATTATAATTGAACACATCATCGTTCACAAAATAGCTGCGTATCGAGTTCATATACACGAGCACCTCCTCAAACTGCTCGTACAGAAAGAAGGCCGATGCCATACTCTGTCTGCCCGGTATTGTATCGCATTCGGTAGCCGAGCTACCCACTAAATGAAGATTCTGTTGCGCCGTCTTGATGTGCTCCTTCTGCAAGGGAGTAATTTGTGAAATGATGAATTCATTTTTTTATATTTGTGTGTTAGTTTTGTAGTTTTACGTGAGGAGTTTGATTTAACATTATTGGAAAAAAAATATATATTGAACTTAAACTTTAACTGAGCGGTAAAAGTTCGTATTAGTAACAAACTAGAAACACTGAAGAAACCGAAGCAAATAAATAAAGAAATAAATCTTATTATTGGGGACTTCAAGCACTGCGACCTTTTGCTTTCATTGTGTCAATATTTGAGATTCTTCGATCAGCAATAATCCTTCAACGACTTTTTCGTGTTGAGAGTTTCTATGTTTTCCGAGTTTACTATTTGTCTTCTTTTGGCTTAGGCGACAAATTTTGCAATGATGTGTTTTGAGCATTGCTCCACATTGCTTCTGATTCTATCTAATTTAGTTAGTTTAGGTGAGTTATCGACTATTCTTCCTCATGGATGTTACTCAATTAAATCGTTTTCGATAGCCTTGTCTGAGACCTCTTGCCTCTGCCCATTTCAATTGTCAAAGATGTTTTTATTCGTTTCTCAGTTGCAGCCGTATTGTGTGCCTTCCTATGCCACAATACGAACCTGTTCCTAGTAGGGGCCTTTTCGCACCCATTTCTGCTGGTTTGTTTACAAGATATAAGTACATAATTGTGTACCACTTTTAGAACTGTATACGACTGGGTACAGTGACATCTCTCGACACTGATCAAGTCAAAACAATCAACTTAACTTGGTACTGCAACTCAGCAAGTTCCGGTGGCAACTTTTGACTTTACTTTAACTGCTTACTTAGACTTAGAACTCTTTTAGCACCACATACAACCGACAGCTAAGCACCTACCGATCCCAGTTGCTGTCCAAGTGCCGCATGCACCACACCCTTCAGTATGTACTCATGTGGCGATGTGGGCTGCAGTTGCTTCATTAGGGCGTGCGCCTCCTGAACATCGCCCTGCTTCAGATAGTAGATGGCCAGATTGAGACGTGCCTCGGGCACAATATTGATCAGGCCCGGCAGCACCCTCAGAGCACCTTCACCATTGCGAAACACGACCAAATTATGGCGTATCAAGTCTGCACCAAATGTCCCATTGTCGGCGATGTTTTTGATCTCCTGCTCGGCGACGCGGCCACTGAACAGACGAAAGCGATTGCAGGCCTTCAGATTGATGGCAATGGTGCTATCGCCATGCTGGCCCAGATAAACATCGAGCACCTCCTGCGACATGTCATAGTAGTCCAGCTTGTAGAAGCATAATGCCAAGTACACATTGATGGCCAGATAGTCCTTGTTGTCGACCAGGACGCGCTTGTACACATCGATTGCCTCCTGGTAATGGGCACGCATATAGTGCATCGAGGCCAAGCTTAATTGCTGCTCCACACTTGGCGTGCTGAGCAGCGTATCCAGCAGATCTGCCCACTGCTGATCATCGCCCAGCTTGTGGGCCAGATGGAACAATAGACGCTGTTTGAGTGGCGTATTCGGCGTGTCCTCCATCAGCTGCTGTGCCTCCTCATAGAGACCCAGATAGAACATGCAGACGGCCACATTGACGGCCAGCTGTGAATCCTTGATGGCCTGGTATTGAGTTAGCGCCTGCTGATAGTCACCCAAATGAAAATTGCAATAAGCAATCCACTGATCGATTTGACGCTGCTGCTGTTCCCGCTGCTGGGCAGCCTCCTCGCTCCGTTCCTCCTCCTCCTGCTCATCATTGGCGTACTGCGAGATGAGGTGCAGATGGGATGAGATATGGAAAGGGAGGGAAATAGAGTTATAAAAAGAGTTAACAAGCTCAAGCCACATACAATGTTTCTCTTATTATGCACTTTGTGGACCACTTCAGGCGTTGCCTTGGACACCATTCTGCATATACTTCTCAAAGATTTAAAGGGGAAACAGGATGCATAAAGAAATGCTGAAGTGTGGACAACATTCAATTTCAAATCACTCAAAAATACTAACGAATTAAACACAATTTCCCACTGGAAATGAACATGTTTAGTCTATGCTGAACATCTGGTCGTAAGCCATTAATTAAGACTACCTGATTATTGCCGTGATTTCCAAACGACCAAGGATCATCGATCATCTGTTAACATCTCAGAAAGTCGGGAAAAACATTCTGAATCTGCATCTTTTCAAAGAATTCAAAAACCCTGTCTTCCCGGGGCTTCGTGGGTAAATGCTACTTACCTCCAGAAAGGCCCTGGCGCCCGTATAGTCGCGTCGAATGATGAAATCCTCGAGTGCTGCCGGCGCTGGTGTTTTGCGCTGCTGCTGCATGCCACCGCTGCTGGCCACATGCCGCGAACTGGCCGAGTCTGTTTTGCCACGTGAAAGTATCTGTGCCGCGTTGGAGACTCAGGTTACTCAATTATCTCCGGTTTTTTAGCTATCTATTTTTGGCTATTTTCAGCTGCATTTCTTACCATTTTTGCTCCGAACTTTGCCAGACGTTTTGCGTTTTCAACTGTTTTTCGTCTGAGTCGTCTTCTTCTTCTGTTTTAATCTTTTTTCCATTTCTGTTGTGTCTGTCTCCAGGCGCTTGGTTACCGTTACGATTACGGCTATGGTTGCTTGGCAACCAACATAGCGTCGATAAAGCAGTTGCCATGCTTGAGTGCACCCAGTGCCAACTGTTGCTTTATCCCTCCCACACACACACACACACATATACACACACGCACACTGTCATATGCAAAAATGCTAAGCGCAATTCTTGGTCTTGTTTTCACTTCTTCACTTGGCATTTTTCTGTTCAGTTCGTTTCTCATACTCTGTTACCGCAGGCAGAAGAGTATATTGGCTTCAAGGCGGGACTTATCTGAGCTACAGACTTGAATTATATATGTCAGATAAATTGTCGAAATTGGAGTGCTGGCAAATCGATAACATTGATTAGTGCAAATCGATAAAACCTTTTTTAAGATTGGTATTTATAATAAATAATAATAATAAATCGGAAAATGCCAAATATCCCTCAGTTTTAAAGCTAGATTAACTAAATTTAAAATGTGCACTAATGAATATTCCAAGGTACAGGCACGCACACCACTTTTGCTTCACTCCCACAAGAAGTTGTTTTGCAACCTGTTTACAACTGTTAACAGAGTATGCCGCAGTACGTTACGACCGATTGCAAATTTCTCACTTGTTTTCCGCATTTGCTTTTTGTTGGTCATGTTTCTCGGATTTATTTCTGCTGAAGCGTGAAATGTGTTATGTGTTCGCTGCACACCCTTTTGCGGATTGTTGTACTTAACTTTTGCATGTGCTTCGCGAAGTGAGGCTACTCAAAGCATCTGAACTTTTTCGCCATGAGAATTGAGTATAGGTATAGTCATTTGGCATCATTCTTGAGACTATTTGAAGTTGACATAAGTGTACTGTTCTTACTTTTAATTAGTAAATAAGTTAATAAAACATTAACGACAAATTTTCCATTCATTTAAATTTGATGCTTTTCTTTACTGTAGACATTTTGAGTAGCATCCTAATAATAATAATAAATACTTTTCGTATTTAAAAGTGTATGCAATTCGATGTGTAGTTGGCGTATAAAATGTCCTTTACTTATTTTCAAATTCCATTAGGAGATTTCACTTGCATTCCACTTAAGGTGAGTTCAGGCATCTAAGGATATGGCAATAGTTATGTCTATGGAATGCATTGTTGACACACTTTCCTTATTTATAAGGCGTACCAACTCATATATATTCAGTCAGCCTCAAGAAAAATGCATGCATCACTCCAATCCTTCTTATTGTCGTTTGCAAAGCTTTCAAAATGCATTTTTTCAGCTGACATTGCAGAAATGCTTTGAGAAATGCTGATGAGATAGAGTTGGACAGACACCTGTGTGGCAGCTCTAACGATATTGTTGCAAACAGATGCAAAATCGAATTAACAACTGCTTTAGTGAACTGATACTTCAATTTGTACGTGAAAAACAATTCAATTTCGTTTGCCATAAATTGTCAAGTCATTCTTGAGTAAGTGACGAGTTAAGGGAATAATACTCATGGTATTTTATTCATGGTATTATAAGAATCAGAGCTGAAATTATGATTCAAAAAGCTACAATGCATATAAAATGCAAATATGTAATTTATCTATAATTTAAACTATAGAAAGGAAGGGATCTACCAAAATGAATGACCAAAATTTGACATTCGTATTATAAATTATTTATCTAAATTATTTGTATACATTATTTATACACATTATTTATCCAAATGTGCTTATAGAATGAAGGAATGTCCAAACATTGATTTTACACTGCGGCCATCATAGCATGTACTTCGTCGATTGTATTTCGACTAGTTTCCCCTTTAATCATGAACAATTTGATGCATCCAAAACGTTTGGAGTTCATCCGAACTTACTATAAATATTTGAGATGGATTTCCCAAACTTTTAAGCCTCAAACATGATATTCACTTCTGGATAAGACTGCAACTGAACTTAGTCTCTACAAACAGAAGCCACCAACTGTTGCACTTACTGCAAGCAGTGAGAAGAATATTGCAGCTGTTGAGAAAAGTGTCGAGCATAACTTAAATATGTAGATTTCTCGTCAGAACTTGCAACTTGCCGCACAATTCACGCTTTGATTCGTTGACTGAGATTCGTTTATTGAGAGATCTCTGGAGAGTCTTCAAGAGGCGAACCTTACTGGCCACCATGATAAGGAGATTTCATACCATTTCTGTTAAATCACATTAACGCTTGATGTCCAGGAAACCAACATCCGTGTTCAAAATTATTGCTGGTATACAAACAAAGATTAGTTACAGGGTCATTGAGCTTTGGAAGGTCAGAATAAGTCAAAGCTACCTGAGCCGCGAAGGTTATTCGAATGAAATCTTATTTAAATCTCAAGTAACCTACAATATTCTTTCAAATAAAAGTTGTACACAGAATTTTAGGTAAAAACCATTTTGTATAATTGAGTCGAGTCGTAAATTCAAACTGATTTTATTACCTAAACAGTTTATTTATTTATTCTTATCAAATATTTGTGTTGTCCCTGCTGAGGTTTTGAATAACTGCTAGCGAGGGACTTTATTTCTGACATGTGTCAATTTGTACTGCCCATGAAGGGTCTTGTCTAAAAATACTGTTCATCCTTGAACAATTATTCAATTTTAAAATTCGGTCATTCTTATTGGTAGACATAGGGTCTGCTACATTTGCTTTTCAACCACAACATGTCACCGAGAATTGAATATAAAAGCTTGAATAAAATAAAAATAAGAAAACAATCTGTTTGCTGCCTACAACCAAATAATATGATGCGCAGCAACAACAACAATAATGTTTGATATACAAATGCGGGATATTGTGGAAACAAATTTATTTTCAAGTGTTGTGCAACGGTAACGAGTACTTGAATCATTTTAGTTGCCTGCCCCACAATGGCGTGTTGTGCTTCGGCTTTTTGTTTCTGTTGTTGCTGTTGCTGTTTTGAGTTGTGTATTCAGGGCGCGCCTTTGTTTATGCTACACTTTATTGCGCTTTTGCAATTTCGCGTTTCCGTTTCCTGTCAAATCAGCCGTAAAAAGCAAGTCTTGGAGCCCGTGACACCGCTCGCCTATTACATTTCGCAGTCGAATAAACAATGCCAACATCATTTGCACCTCCTTCATTATGGCGCTCGTTATTTGTCAAACAAATAAACAGCAGGAGCATCAACAGGGGGCTGATAGTGGGTGGTAGGAGGGGCAGAGATGACTGCCGATTGCCGACTGCTTGAGTTAGTACGTGCAATTGTCTCTTCTGTTCTCTCTTGGCCATGGCTTTCCATCATTATCATTGCGCTCGTGTTTACCAATTTTAGAGCTGCTTCCATATACCAAATCCCCGATACAGAACGATGAAGAGCAGGGACCCTCGCCTGGTGTTTGTTGGGCGGGGTTGGTTGTGTTTGGTAGGTGTTGAAAAGTGTCCCAGTCGTGAAGCAGGCACCAAGTGACAATTTATTGTCATCTCTTCTTTGCCTTCGTTGAGTTCACGCTTGTTTTATTCCTGTTTTGTTTTTGCCATTTTTCTTATTTGCATTTGCCTCTTTCTCTTTTCATCTGGCACTTGAGCAAACTTGTTTTCTTTCTTCTGCTTTACGTCTTTTCTTTCTCGCTTTTATAACCATTAAAAATGGGTAAAAATGGGTATAATGAAGTTATACAAAAATTAGTCAACAGACACCCCAAAATCACTACCAACAAAAGAATCGATCTAGCCATGTCCATCTTTCGATAACTTTCATCCCTTACACAATATCGATAAAAATCGATTGCTATTAAATACATAGCTTTAAAGATTTAACATTTTTGAATTGGGTGTCTATATACCTTGGCATAATATACACATACATTTTTCAAGGTATCTCCTAGTCGGGCACTCTTACTTTCCTCTTCGTTTTTTTTTTGTGCTGTGTGCTTTGCTAAAGAGAAAAAATCACATGAAAATTGCGAACTTGCGAAATGAAGTACGAAATTCAAACGGAAATTGAAATGGCAATGACAGAATAGAGTAAAGCCGAGTTCTTTTCTTGCTTTTTCGCTCACTTTACTTTACTTAGTGCCTTTCCTGCCTCAATTTGATACGTTGCTGCACTGGACCTGGCTGGCTGGGGCACATGTTCCTTGCCCACTTGCCCAATTGCCTGCAGCTGCACAGATTTTGCTCGACTACAAGATAAAGTTGAAGCAAATGGCGATTTTCTCAAGCGAAAACTAAACACTCGAAATGTGAAAATAAATAAGAATGGACATCTTGGCGATTTATTGTTCATGATGAAGTTACTGTTGTTGCCATTGTTTCTTATTGTTGCTTTTGTAGTTGTTGTTTTTGCTGATTTTCTTTAACAGAAGCTCAAATGTGGCCTGCCACCGAAGCATGCATAATAACTGGACAGTAAACTGCTCGACAGAAAGAACGAAATAGAATAAATTGGAGTCAACCCGCCCATATTTAAGAAAACCGACCGATTATTCTTATGATAACTAAATGATATGGTAGTCTGATGATGATAAAGCTTTTTGCTTTGTCAAATGTGAAGAGCATAACAAAAAAAAAACCCATTTCGTGAGTTTGGTTCGGATATCTTGGTAAACACGCCACTGATAATTTCTATGGCAGCTATATAATATATTGATCTATGGCGGGATTTCAGCAAATATCCGAAATGGAACGTCTGGATGTGGTTATATCGAGTCGGCTACTGATGCCGATCAAGATTATATACACTTTGTGATGTCTCTTTTAAAGCGCTACAAATTTAACGACTAAATTAAAATACCCTCCAAAATTCTACAGATACTTTTTCGGAATTGCCCTTGAAATGAGTTGAAATAAGTTATAAAATCAGTTTGATACTTTCACTCGCATTGCACAGGGCCTCCAATTAGCGTTAATTTAGCACAGTCAACTTGTTGTTGGCAAATAAACTGAGTTGTTTTTAGGTTCGTGTGTTTTCAAATTTGGTAATCAAACATACAAACACACACACACACACACCCAGGCAGAGAGCCAGACAGACGCTCGAATGAATTTGGCGATTGCATTATTGGTAAAATGTTTTTCGGTAATTTTGTGAAATATGCTGCTAGGTTTGTTGCAGGCTAGCCCCTAATTTGTGTATTTTGTGCGAGTTCGGTGCATTTACATATTTTTAATTAGAACACAAATTTTGGCATTTGCAGCCACAACCGAAGTCAGAGCTCGAAATACAATTCCAAATCAAGCGCAAACGCTTGAATCTGGCCGCATTATGGCAAAGGTGTCAGTTGTATCTGTGTGTTGTTGTTTGTGATTTGTGCGGCTTTTGTATACCCTGTGCTCATCAAATGACTAGCGAAAGGTTATATGGTTTCTTTACGGATTATCCATATTTCGGATAACGTATTTCGGAATTTTTGTGCCTTGAATAGGCTCATTATTGATTTTGTTAACGAAAAAGTATTTTCTATGGCCAGTATGTATTTAACAACTGGGTTTAGGGTATCTGTTAGTCGAGTTGTTGCACTTCACTTTCGAGTTTGCTAATTTTATAATTGGTATTTGCGAATTTTAATAAATTTTGATCATGGTAACTTTAAGCAGATAAATATGTTAATATGCTTAACTTACTGACTCTGTCCAACCTTTTCGACATGCTTGCGTACCTTTGGTTATTTTAATAAATATTTCAGCAGCAACACATTGGCTCACACACACCAATCAACTGACAGATATACATAGTTTACTATCTACTAAATATTTAAACACAGCATCAGATCGTAAAAGCAAAATGTATGCAAAGTGCATGTCGAGCAGCAATCGAGTCGAGCTGTAACATAAAAATTCAGCTGGAAAATTAAAATAAATAAAAGCAGACATCGAGCAAGGCGTCTGAAGGTGAAAGCAAGCCAGAGACTAAGGAACAAGTAAGAGAGAAAGTGATGGATTCAAAATCACCCTATAGTTTAATGCAGCATATC